TTTTTTTTTTTTTTCATTTTAAAAAATTGTGTTGTCTCTTTCTGAGTGATAGGAATTCTTTACATATTATGGATATGAGTCTCTTGGTGGATGCCTGTATTGCAAATATCTTCTCTCAGTCTGAGCTTGCCTTTTCATTCTCTTAATGGTTTCTTTTGACTAATGGAAATTCATAATTTTAAGGAAGTCTAATTTATCAGTTTTTTCTTTATGATTAGTGCTCTTGTGTCCTGTTTTAAAACATCCTTGCCTCTCTTAAAGTCATGAAGATGTACTTCTCTGTTTTCTTTTAAAAACTGTGTTTTAACTTTTACATTTAGGTGTTTTATATGATATGAAGGAGGGGGTCAATGTTCTTTTTTATCCCCCAAAGGATATCCAATTAACCCAGCACCCTGTCTTGAAAACAAACATGCTTTTCCCCAAAATTGTAGTGCAGCCTTTATCATGAGTTAGATGACTATATATGTGTGGGTCTGCTAATACGTTTTTGGGTTTTTTAATTGAGTTTTAATAAGTTTTAAAAAAATATTATTATATACTCTTTGCAAAGATATTTTATGGCATGCACAAATTTTTTATGCCTGGATAATACTCTGTTGGGTAATTTACTTAATAATTCCAATATTGTCAGACATTTAAGTTGTTTTTAATTTGGGGCTATTAGTCAATAATATTATAAACATTATCTTTTAATAAAACAAAAATAATATGTCACTGTTATTTTGCTGTTCTCTACTAGGCAGGTTGACTATTTTCCCACATGTTCTGAACTGTGTTAATATCACTTTTCCATTTTTTTTGCAAGAGCCTCCTATTTTTGATATTTATTTTCTTTATGCAATAAAGATCTTAAATTTAAGTACACATTTATTAAAAATGCTTTTCCTCAGTCTGTTTGCTCCCCTTTTTCTAACAGTTAAAAGTTAAAACTCTTTATGTCAAATTTGACCATCCTTCTCTTTGTGGTTTCTTGGATTGCTCCTAACCTTAGAAAGGTCTCCTGTCTCCAAAGTCCTGATAAAAATACAATTCTTTCTCTCTCTTTTTCTCTTTCAATTTTCCCCGTTTGATTTTTTAAAGACTTATCTCTTTAATCTGGAATTATTTGGAAATATGGCAGGCCTTATAGAGCATCCGCATAATTGTTTTAGATACACATTTTTGTTGTATAAGGGTAAAATTGTGTAAAACAAAATCCTCTGTGATATTTATATTTTTAACATTTCAAGTAGGAAACGGTAAAGTCTTTTTTAATAAAGGACTGCAACCAGTTTTTTAACATTCAGAACTCGCAGGGCCTACTAGAGCAATATCTGGAGAGGTAATTGAGAAAGAGGCAACATTACTCAACAGTAACAGCAATGCCAAGCCAGGAATTTAGACACTCAGAGGGCTGTATCCTAACTAAAAGGAGGTGTGTGGAGAAAGGGATGGGTAAGAGGAAATAAAAACAGCACAATCCAGTCTTTCATGGTCTGTGATAGAAGTTTACCACTGACTTCAGAAGTGCTACCTGGGAGCTGGAATCCATGGGCCACCTTCCCCATGGCAGCTCTTCTGGATTGGTCATTAGGCCTAACTGTGGTCAGAGATAAATGGACTTTCTTGGGTAAAGCAAACAGAAAGAAAAACATGTGCCCTGAAATAAAAGAAACCAGGATCCGGCCGGCCGAGTGGCTCAGCTGGTTAAGAGCCAGCTCTGAGCAGCAGGGTTTTGGTTTGGATCCCACATTGAGGGCCAATGACGCTCGCCCTCTACAGCTAAGATGATGAACAACAGCTCTACCTGGAGCTGGGCTGCCGAGAGTCGCCGGCGGCGGCATAGGCTGCAGCAGGGCTGCAGTGGGCTGCCGTGAGCTACGTGAGTGATGGCAGCCAGCGTAAGCGGCTGGTGGCCAGTGTGAGCTACTGGGAGCTGCTGTGAGCGGCCGACCAATGACCGGTGACCGATTGCCTCACCCAGGAAGAGCACAATGATCATACCAACATGGGCCAGTGAAGCGACGTCCTCCACAATTAGAGTGATGAACAAAACAGCAATTTGTCTACCTGTCTGTTCCCCTTCCCCGATTCCCCAACGCTGTCCCCCCCCCCAAAAATCTTAAAAAAAAAAAAAAGCAACCAGGATCACCGTGATATTTTTTGACAGATTTACCTTTGACCTGGTTGCTCTGTGTGGTCCCACCAGGTATGACTGACCCAGGTGACGACTCGTCTTTACTGTGGTGTGGTCTCCTTCCTCCCTGGTTTGGTTTCAGGGGTAATAGCTCTCTGACTGAGCTGCACTCAGTCACCAAAACATAGAGCAGGCTAGCCAACACCTTCCTCATTCTTGACTCCCCATACAGTAAGACACTGGACTGTCTTTTCCCCCTTCTTCCACTCAGCTAGCCCAGGGGTCACAAACTGCGGCTCGCGAGCCACATGTGGCTCTTTGGGTACGCATATGTGGCTCTGAAGTAAAATTGAAAATGAAAATAAAACTATCATAGTTTCACTTATAAAATTTTTAAAGGATATTATTCACATAATGGTGATTTCATTTGTTTATGGCTCTCGAATAATTTTTAAATTGTTGTAAGAGACAGGATTGGCTCTTCTGTCTCAAAAGTTTGCCGACCCCTGATCTAGCCAGTTAGAAGGTGGAAAGGAGAGAGCCTGCCAACTAGGGGAGTGACTTAGACGAATGAGGGTCTGGGCTTAATCACAGAACACTTTAAAACTAATTGTTGCATTGATGAATCACATGTTCAGAAACACGTATTGTGACTATATTAATTTTTCCTGTTAGCAGTGGTGAGGCCAGAGGAGCTTCACCAGTTTGTCAAAATGTTTGTTATCCCCTGACCATTATCAGGTGAGCTTGTTAAAAATGCAGATTACTGGGCCTATCCCAGGTCTACTGCAGCGGCATCTGTGAGGGTAGGGCCTGGACAGCTACTTTTTTCTTTTTTTTAAGATTTTTATTGGGGACAGTGCTGGGGAATTGGGGGAAGGGGAACAGACAAGTTGCTGTCGTTTTGTTCTTCAGTCTAGTTGTGCTGGGGAATTGGGGACAGTGCTGGGGAATTGGGGGAAGGGGAACAGACAAGTTGCTGTCGTTTTGTTCTTCAGTCTAGTTGTGGAGGACGTTGCTTCACTGGCCCAAGTTGGCACCATCACTGCGCTCTTCCCAGGGGAAGCAGATCAGTTGCCGGCTTCTGGACAGCTGCTCACGGCGGCTTGAGGGCTGCTCATGCTGGCTGCTGGCTACACATGGTAGCCCATGGCAACCCACTGCAGAAGGGGCTGCAGCCTACACCGTGGTGACTCACGGCAGCCCAGCTCCAGGTTGAGCTGTTGTTCAGCATTTTAGCTGTGGAGGGCAGCGTCACTGGCCCTCATATGTGGAATCCGAACCGGGGCCCTCTGGCGTCCCAAGCCAGTTCTTAACCAACACGCCACTCGGCCGGCCCTGGACAGCTACTTTTAACAACTCCTCAAATGATTGTAATAAACACTAAAGAGATCTACTGGACCACATTTAATGTAAAATGAAGTTGTGAGGCCCACATGGGTTGACTATCCTTGTAATCTTTACTTGTGTCCATTTTGTTGTTGTTGTTAAAATCCTTTCCTAATATCCCAGTTTCATAACATAATTTTTAAGTCAAATTTTAAAATCTCTAAAGTTTATACCACTAATTATATTCTGCTTCAATTTTAATGTTAATTGGTCCATGTTTGCTAGCATGACACCTGGCACAGGAGGTAGAAAAATGAATAGGCCCTAATGAACTCCAAATTCAAAATTTTTGCCAATTAGAGGGCTGTCCGAGTGGCTCAGTTGGTTAAGAGCTCGCTCAAGAGTTTGAGCTCTGAGCAACAGCAGTTCAATTCCCGGCCCAAGCTGAGCAGCCGCTGAGCTGCCAACAGGTAGCAGGATGGCTCAGCTTAAAAAAAAAAAAAAAAATTTGCCAATTATGTGAAAACTTGTTTGGTGTATATGCCCTGGTTCAGGTAAGCCTCACCATATCTAGGATTATCTGGTCTAGTCTCCCATCCATGCAGAAGAATGACTATTTCTTAGCCACATGTTGAATATTCTAGGTCTAAAAACAAGCTAATTTTCTGCGTGGGTGGGGGCCTCAGCCAGACAATTCTACATATGGTAAAGCAATTTAGATCCAAGTAAGGGAGCCACATCTGTGCCCCTTGGTCCTGGTCTCCAATTCACTGGAGTCTGCCCTCTTTCCTATCTAGCATTGGGCCCTGTGGAAATTTCCCTCATGGTCGTCATGACCTTGCTTGTCCTGGGCTCAATCGCCATCTACCTGGAGGATGCTGTCTACCTGTACAAGAACACCCGTTGCCCCATCAAAAGGCGGACTCTGCTCTGGAGCAGCTCTGCACCCACGGTGAGGGCTCTGTAGCTGCCCATTGGGAGGACTGGGGAGAAGGCAGGGACCTTTTCGAGAATTCCTCTAAACTCAGCAATTCAAGTCAGCAAAGGGTTGCCTACCTCTACCACCTTAGGGTGGGGTTTTGTAATCTGATCTCCTTTTGCATTCAGGACCCCATGCTTGGAAGGCCATCAGGCAGTGGGATGGAGTGTTTGAATTCTTAGAGCCACAGAGACAGCTGAAGAAACCGCTCAGCCCACTCACCACTCCCCCACCACAGTATTACTGTTAAAAGCAAGCCTCCTTCCTGTACAGGCAAGCAGTGTTTCCTCAGAGTGTAGAAGGGAATTTTTCCCCATGGGGTCATACTTTGCTCTATTCTTCCGTGGTAGGCTTTTAAAACTCCCACAGCTATTACATAGGCCTTTGTATTGCTCGTAGACCATAAAATTGGACTTCTATTTCCTTGTGGCGAGCTGTAAGTGTCTGTTTGGGATGGACAGTGGGGCCCTTGAGGTCCTTTCCTGCCAGATAACATCTGCCTAGGCCATCTCAAGTCATCAGAGATGCTTTAATGACATGGTGTGTTGCAAAGGGCGGGCTGGATCTTGATCCATTTACTCCTAAGGATTAATTTACATACTCCTAACCCAGGGATACAGGATGAGATATTCTTCAAAAGAGCCCCCACCTCAAGGTGACTTGTTGTCTCCAACCCTGGACATAGAAGGAACTGACAGCTGAATCAAAATAAGTCTTTAATTAGTTAATTTAATTAGTGATTTTTCCAGCTGGCCACTTTTAAGTAATGGTGCCTTAAATGTTTAGGTTTTGGTTCCTTGAGCTCTTGCCACAAATAGTTTGAGAGAGAGAACACGAAGTCTCCCTCCTTGCCCTAACTGGCTTCTTGCTGCTCTCCACACAGGTGGTGTCTATGTTCTGCTGCATCGGTCTCTGGATTCCTCGTTCCCTCATGCTCATAGAAATGGCCATAACCTCGTGAGTGTCCTGCCCTCCCCCAGCTAGGGGCAGGGTACCCTTCTGCTCCCATTTACCCACAACTCCGGAGTCCATGTCTTCTTTTATCCCCTATCCCTTCCATAAATCCCTGCAAACTATTGGGTTGTCAGAAAAGTCATAACGTATTTTTCTATGTTTTTTTGGTTGCAAAAATGCATCACGACTTTTCTGACAACCCAATAATTAGGAATTGATCATGAATTGATCCCTTTCCAATTTGTGCTAATCCGGGTGCCTTGAACTTCTGGATCTGTCCATCCTCAGCCACTGTTTTGTTCCCACAGCCTGAAATTCCCCCTCCCCAGGCCCCTGAGCCCCATCCTCTCTCTCCTCTTGGGTCACACATTCACAACGCCTAGTCCTTACCATGATCCCCTTGGTAAACGCCACCTCTCCCAGCTCCCTTTGCAGTTCATCTTCTTTGGCAGCAAAGGGCGTCCCGTCCGCTGGCTGCCACCTCCTCTGGGACTCTGAGACCCACCTCTTCCCCCACTCCAGGTTTTACGCCGTGTGCTTTTACCTGGTGATGCAGGTCATGGTGGAAGGCTTTGGTGGGAAGCAGGCAGTAGTAAGGACATTGAAGGACACCCCGATGATGATCCACACAGGCCCCTGCTGCTGCTGCTGCCCCTGCTGCCCCCGACTCATGCTCACCACGTAAGTCAGGAGGGAGAGACGTCCTCGAAGAACAGGATACCTCTTCCTGCACTCTCCCAAGAGCGTCTGCTGGCTCTCTCTGCCCTGTTTCAAGCCTCCTGAAATGAGGCTTATAGGGAACAAACCCAATGATGAAAGGGTGAGCATCCCCCAGCCAGGACCCACACATTGGGCACCCACCCAGGGTGCAGAGGAAGAGCAATGGAAGGAATACTCCAAAGTTCCCATCACTTAAGCCCACTGCCCCCTACAAACTAGCCCAACAGAGCAAACTGGACTTTGGTTATTTATTCGCCCCTCTGCTCATTTTGGTTAATGAGGTTGGGTCAACACTGATGGTTCTTGCTCAAAAGGTACCATTCTGGTCTGGGAGTAAGTGGGAAGCAAGAAGGAGGGTTCCCAATGCTCTCAACATTCTGGCTTCTTCCTATGTTCCCATCATTTAACTATTCTGGTGTCTATGATGGCAGCCACGCCTCAGCCCAGGAGCCCAGTGAGGGAGTTGGGAGGTCTTCTTGAGGTGGGTAGTTTATGGATCCATGTTTCTAGCCCTCTTCTCCCCTCAGGAAGAAACTTCAGCTGCTGATGTTGGGCCCATTCCAGTATGCCTTCTTCAAGATAACACTGTGTCTGGTGGGCCTGTTTCTCATCCCTGATGGCATCTATGACCCAGCAGACGTAAGCCAGGAGTAATGGGCAGGAGGAAAGTCTAAGACCCGTTTAGTACCTTTGAGTTCTACAAGGAATAGCTAAAGCCAACATCCCCTGATGCAGGACCCGAGGAACAGGGTGGCTGTGGGAAAATATAGAGGCTCGAGGACTCTGGTGGAGAGAGAGGAGACTGGAATAGGCCACGGCTTTACAGCTTTTTTTTATTACCTGTCCCACTATGGGGGAAGAAATAGGAGACGCAAAGGGCTTGTTCCCTCAATGACTACTGTCTGGTCTGCCCCCAGATTTCTGAGAAGAGCACAGCTCTATGGATCAACACTTTCCTTGGCGTGTCCACCCTGTTGGCTCTCTGGGCCCTGGGCATCGTTTTCCGTCAAGCCAGGCTGCACCTGGGTGAGCAGAACATGGGAGCCAAATTTGCTATGTTCCAGGTAACTATACCCTGGGAGAAAAAAGATGGTTCATACTAGAGCTACAAATAATTGTGGTTAGGAGGTGAGACTAATAAAGGCAAAAGCAGGTTTGGGAATCTTCTTAAGCCTTAGGTTTCCTTATGAGATTTGGAAAATGATCCCTGCCCCTCCCTTCCCAGTTTTTGCTTTTCTGTGCTGTAATCATTTGCTAGGGCTGCCATAAAATGCCAACCGTGTGGCATAAAACAACAGAAATTTACTGTCTCAGAGTTCTGGAGGCTAAAAATCCAAAATCAAGGTGTCAGCTGGGCCATGCTTCCTCTGAATCCTAGAAGGGAGACTCCTTCCTCTCTCCTCCTAGCTTCCGGTGTTTTGCCAGCAATCGCGGCATTCCTCGACCTGCAGCTGCATCACTCTGATTTCTGCCTCCCTCAGATGGCAGTCTCCCCTCATAGTCTGTGTTTTGTTCTCTTTTCCTCTTCTTATAAGGACACCAGTCATATTAGAATGAGGACCCACCCTACTCCAGTATGACCTCATCTTAACTAATTAAATGTAATTAGTTAACCAAAACAATGATGCTTTTCAAACTAAGGTCACATTCTGAAGTCCTGGGGGTTAGGACTTCAACACAGCTGTTGGCGCAAGGGAGGGTCGGGGGGGACAGGACACACAATCCAACATCCAATCCATAACGTCTATTATCGAACCTTAAACCTTAAATTCTTCTGCCTTTGCTTTTCTTTCTACAATTACTTACTAAAACCCTATAATCTATCACTACCATTATCTCAGCTACAACTATGAATTACCTACACCATGTACTAGGCACTTTGATACATTACATTTTAATTTTCATAATAATCTTAAGGGTCATTATTTTGATTTTATAAATGAGGAAACTGAGACCCAGAGATGTTATGGGACTTGTTCAAAGACACATAGGGATGGGGCTAGAACTTAAGCTCAGATCTGTCTAACTCCCCAGCCCACATCCCTTCTTCTCACCACGCTGCCTCTTCATCTTCACACCTCTTCTGAAAGTTCTCTCAATGGTATGTTTGTTCACTTTTTACACTTCCCATTCTCTCAGTCCAAAGATAATTTTTCCACCAAATGCAATGATTTCTAGCCCAAACTTGTTTTCCTTCTCTCTCCATTCTTTGAATCCTTGCTGGGCCCTTCTCCTACTCCCAAGGCATAATGACTGCTTTATAGTTAACAGTGATTTCACATAAACTCTCATTTGACCTAAGCAGATGCCTCTGAAATGTGAATTTCCAGGCACATAGTAGGTAGAATTGAAGGGGCTAGGGCAAAAGAGAAGAGAGGAGACTGAAATGGAGTCAGGGACTGAAAGAGCAGAAAGGATCTGGGTGCCAGAAACGCTTAGGGTCAAGCCACAAGGTAAAAACCTGTGATCACCAAGCCTTTACTGTGGGGAAGCCTGGATAAGCAGAGCCTGCCTTGCCTCAGGGAGGGCAAGTGCTAAGACACGTGGTGCTCCGGGGGCCTCAGGACAGAGATTTTCCTTTCCTTCTCCTTCCCCTCCTTCTCCTCCTTGTCTTCCTCCTCCTTCTTTATTATGGATTAATAGACATAAAATTTATAATTTTAACCATTTTTAAGTGTAGAGTTCAGTGGCATTAAGTGCATTCACATTGTTGTGCAACCATCACCACCACCTTCCATTCCCAGAACTTTTTCATATTCCACACAGAAACTTTACCCATTGAACACTGATTCCTCTCTCCACCCCCACCCCCACCCCCACCCCTGCCTCTGGCACGGCAGAGATTTTTTCCAAGGGTGCTTTAATGGTTAATTGTCTATCATTCTATCAGTAGAGATCTCAGGTGTTTGAGACAGATGTAAGGACTCTTCCCTAATCATCCATCCTTTTCATCCATTAAATGCTCATTAGTAGCCATGGCTGAGATAGGGAAATAAACTTGAACCTCCAATCAGTTCTTACTGTTTCTTGTCAGGAACTCTCATAACATATTGGATGGAAGACGAGATTATAATTTTCCAAAAGATTAAAACTCCATCAAATTGTAATCAAGTGTGAGTCTTGACCCTCTGCATAGATCTAAAGGCTGGCCGGATGCACTGTGGCAGGACAGCACAGCAGTGGGTTAGCTGGCCTCCATACCATGGCCGCTGGGCCCACCCTGCCCTTGCTTCTCTCTTCCCTTCTGCAGGTGCTCCTCATCCTGACTGCCCTGCAGCCAGCCATCTTCTCAGTCTTGGCCAATGGCGGGCAGATTGCTTGTTCGCCTCCCTTTTCCTCTAAAATCAGGTCTCAAGGTGAGCACATAGGGGTTCCTATCCCATTCCAGGATGGGGGAGAAGGGGAGGGTCAGAGAAGAGAGGACCTTAGAACAAAGGTTGGCCAGGCTGGCTGCTGCTCAGAATACCCAGAAAGGGGTCTCCAAGAATCCCAACAGAGACTTTAAGGAGACTATGACTTTTCTAATCACACAAAAGAGAGCTGCAATTCCAACAGCTTGAAGCCAGCCTCGATGGTCAACCCAGGAAGCCGTGGGTTCAAGCCTTAGCTTTTGGGAAAGGAATAGGTATGGTCAGGAAGCAGAAGGCCATGCCGATAAAACACACAAAACGAATGAGGTTTAAGCTAGCCTCAGACTGCAGAAGGTAGAGAGCTAAGTCCTGGTTCTGGCTCTGCCATTAACCTGTTCCGTTACTCATGACCACTTACTATCTCTAGGTCTTGATTTGTTGATAAATTGGAGAAAGTGTTGTTTAGCTCACATGCCAGGGATGCTGGTGGGACACCACCTAGATAATTTAGCATAACCGACATTATATTTCACCTTACAATGCAGTGATGAATTGCCACCTACTCATACCGGAGACTTTTCTGATAACTGTGCTGACACGAATGTACTACAGAAGGAAAGATGACAAGGTTGGATATGAACCTTTCTCTTCTCCACACCTGGATTTGAACCTCAAAGCTTGAGGTGGATGGCTTGGACAATGAAAGAGACACTGTACTCATGAGACAGGCACAAGATTTCTTCACTGTCCCTCAACCTTGAAAAAATGGGGAAGGATTCCATAGTCAATACACGCTGGCCGATTATATTTGACTATAGAGATGAAGGTGAATTATGTAATAGGATGAAATTGTTTTTGATCTTGCCTTTCAAGGTATTTTAAGTTTTATAATAGACAAACAGAATGAAGTCTGAAACTATAACTGGACACTTTGCCCCTGTGGGTGCCACTACTAGCCCTTAAAGCTTGTGTATTGAAAGGTCACTCTGAGTTTTCTCAAAGCAAATGAAAGAGGGGAAGAGTACATGGTAGTGTGGTATTAGGAAAGGAGTAGAAGGAGTAGAACTCAGCCAGTCAAAGACAGTACAAGCCCAAAGTCTCAAAGAAGCCAGGCTTCTGAAAAAAATAGATCAAGATGTCCTTTCCCTTACATACGTGTCAGTAGGGCACTGATGACATCAGAACTGGGAGAGCAGGGTCAGCCTCCCTTTGTAAGACGATGGCTTTTTGAGTCTCTGTGTCAAGCTGCAAAAGGAATCCCCCAATTGATTTTGAGGAAATAAATTAGGATGCAAAAGTAATGGAACTGAGAGTATAGGTAAAAGCCCCCAAGACATAAAATGTATCATACCCATGTATATCAGGTCAAAAACACAAAAAATAAAACATTAGGTAAAACCACTTTGCCTTTATTTGCCTAAATGACAAAAGCCAAAATAACTTTGAACAAATTACTAACACTCAGACAGGAAAACAATATACTGAACAGCAATTAAGAAGAACATTCCTGTAGACTTCGGCACTGGTGATGGGGCTAACATTCATGCCAAGGCCAGCATTGCTTTCCGAAACTTTTTCTTTTTTTTTTCCAGTTTTCTCAATACAAAGCAATCCAACCAACCAAGTAAGTCTGTATTCAAAACATAGTCAGTGCCTCCAAAAAAGGGTGGGGAAGCCCACTTTAAACCTAAAAGAATACAACCCGAGTCGTCCTTAATGCTAAACCTAGCATTTTTGTTTTCTACCCCAATCTCAATATTAACATATAATTTTGGCAGACAAAAAAATCTTTCTTCTTTTAAAGAAAATTAACATTTAATAGTGTAATCCCAAGAACGTGTTCTACTTATTTGGAAAAATAGAAGCTAGGGACCACCCTTTATCCCATGACAATCTATTCTATGAGAGAAAACAAGAATAATCATTGTATGACTTTGAAAAATATAACCTTCAAAAATACTTATATTGGTAAGCTTAAAAAACAATACCATTAGTTAAAAACATTGTTAAGGGAGTTTTTTCCCCCCCTACCTGTATTAGTTTAATTTCTGGTAAGAATATGTGCTGACAGAAAATGTACAAGTTATGGCTTTTAGGGAATTAAAGAAAAGCAGCAAAATATAATTGATTTGGAAAGATTCTAAATATGAGATCTGGGAAAGGATTAAAAAGGCAATGAGCTCCAGAAAATCAAAAGCAACACAAAAGTCAAGATAATCCAGAAAGAGAGTAACAAAAGCACTGTGAAGTACCATTGCAGAGAGAATACACATACACTGCCTGACCAGCTGTGTGGTCACAAGTAAAATTTTAAAAATAGAACTCAGGTGCTGCCTAAGAAGTTATCAGTGATCAGAAAAGGTCAAAAGTCCTCTTGACCTCCTTCATATTTTTTCTCCAGGATTTTCAACCTCCTCACATCCGCGACCTTCTTACCCAAGCCTCAGCAAAATAATGGTCTTTGACTCTAGCTATCAGAAACAGCCACAGCAGTACAAAAGATCCATTTCTAGTCCTCTAAAATTTCAACTTCTTTTCTTCAGTTCTACTGAATTTAGTGTATGAAAAGAGCAAACTTTCTGCCCAGTGCATCTCAAGGAAACTGCTGAAATGGCAGCTCCTCAGCACAAGCTTAGCTATAGGACATCCTTCTCCATTCTTCTATCTTAGAGGTTCTGAGGTCAACCAACTTTTAAGGCTCTCCCATTTCTGCCATATTTGGCCTATTCAGGCTGACAGCTTTGTGTGTGGGATTCAGAGAAACATCTCCACAACCTCAAACATTAATATTAGAGGATTTACGGATCACAGGCATGGTCGTGGTAACCTCACTGAATTAGGCCCAAATGATCAAATGCCACATCATTCCCACAGCTTCCTCCACCCTCCCATTCTTGTCCCGCACCTAGGGTCACATTTATCCCAAAATATCTAACATGCCATACTATAAAAGTTTTTGCTTTCAGTGAAAATTATTTGAAGATATTGTAGTGTTAGGAGACTGAGGCTGTAGTCTTGACAAAAGAGGCAAGAGAGTTTTCCAAGAATGTGTGCACATGCTAGCCCTAGTAGTCTCAGGGATGATCAGCTCAGAGGTTATTCCGAGGGCCCAGCATGCCAAAAGCAGCCCATTGATAGAGCAGAGAAGGGCACAGAGATTTGTGTCCCAGACAATATATTTGAGGGGAGTGACTGCAGGGAGGAAACCCAAACCCACATTTTAGGCATCTCCCTTTCCAAATATACTGGGTAACGTGTTCTTTGAGGAAACAAGTAGGTGGGCTTCAGTGGTGACTTCATTGCCTTTCTATACCAGGGAGAATAAGACTGAAATAGGCAGAAATCCCAAAGAAGAAAGACTGCCTAAGAACTTACCAGAAAAGTTAAAACGTAATCATGAAACTGAGTAATATAGGCAAACATTAACTTCAACTGTTTCAAAAAAAGGATCCCAAGCCGAAGCTCGTGTAAACCAGGTCTGACAGTAAAAATAGCACTTCATGAGAAGAGTTTAAATGTAGTTTTCACAGGCCATCAGGACAAGAGGTTTCCCCCACTGTCCCTCTATTCTGCCATGCTCTGCCTCTGGGTGGTCTGAGTTTGAAGAACATAGGTGGTCCTGCTATGCAGGCAGGTAGGTTTTACCAAAAGTGTTTAGGGAGGCGACTATGAGATGCTCACAGCCCTAGCAGAGGGGCAAGAAAAGATAAAAATGGGTTTTCTTAGCTGAAAACACTAAAACTCCACCCCCACAAGGGGTATTTATGAGTGATGGGGTGGGGCCTGGACATAAGCAATCTTCCCCTGAACCCAGTTTAAGATTACTGATGGATGATTACTGATGATAGTAAAGCTAGGTCAGGTAGCTGTAGGACGCTGGAGTTTTAAAATGAGCTCACGCTCAACAGCAGGTGTTAAGCTTCAGCACTCTTTGACATGAAACGTAAGTGATGAATGCCCCTGGGCAACCTAACGGGAGGTGGGACCACAACCACTAGGCACACACGGAAGAGGGAGAGAACCCACTCTTCTAATGTGAATGTGGCTTTGTGGCTCGCTGGAGGGGTGGTGGAGGGAAGTAAGTCCCTGCCAGCTGCCACCTTTGCAGGAAAAATGCTGGGTGGAGCACTGGTTCCCGTCAAGAATATTCTTAAGTGGGGCAGAGGTCAAGATAAGGCTTTGGGAAGGGGGGGGGTGTTTCCTTGTGCTTTTGCGTCTGTGTTCTGTGCAAATGTCTAAATATTCAATATGGCTATGAGCAACATGGGTTAATAGATCATGTTCAAACTGCAGACATTTACAAAGTATTCTTTGTAAAAATTTAGGAAATGGGCATAGAAATAGGAGTAGCAGGGCCAGGGACTTACTCCAGGGGGGAAATTAATCTAAACTGATTTTGTGTAAGATTGAGTATTGTCCCACTCTCTTCCTCAATCACAGGAAAGCTGAAAGTGTTCTTTCTTAAAGGGAGATAGCAAAAAAAAGAGGCTGACAAGAGTTCCCAAATAACTGGGCAATAGAATTGTCTGAGATGAACACAGTAGCAAAACCGCAGCTGACGCCATGTGGTCTGGTTCCATCCCCATCGGTGTCTTCATGGACCCCATTGGGACCAAAAGAAGCTCCTCAGGGAGTAAGAAAAGTTAGGCTCAGATCTTTCCACAGCCACATCGACACGTGCCAGTAGTACATTTAGGGGATTTGTGACTATTGCCCAGCTTTTGGCTTTTTTTTTTAAAGGAAACCAAAATTATATCCCTCCCCCAATACACACATAAATCACCCAGCATGGCTCATTGCTTGAAGGACTTGGCAAGCCAGTTTGCCTCAGAATAGAAGGCAAACACTATAGTGTATCAAGAAGAAAAGGCCTCTGGGTATCACACCACTTCCTTCTGCCCACTCCTCAGGGCAAAAAAAATTAGTTCTACTTACATTTGAAAGGCTAATTTTTAAAAAAATAATAAAAATGACAATTTCCCTGTCAAGATCACATAAACATAAGCAGTAAAGCAAAGTCTGTGGGGAGGGTACATGGATGCAGAACCGGCTTCTGAGACACAGTCAGCCTCCTTAGTGTGGTAAGTGATGTCTCTTGGAGGACGGGCTGTCTGGTCCCCCCTCCTAGGCCCTCTCGCCCCAGCTGTCTTTCCTTTGTCGCTGTCCTTAGGTTTAGTGTTGGGATCACAATTTGGAATTCAACAGAGAGCTTCTGAAGGTGATGGGACAGAGGGAAGGGAGAGGAAAGGAGGGGTGAAAAATTAGTCTTCTTCATCCTCACTGATATCATAGGCTGCAGCCTTGTGCCTGGAGAGATGTGCTGGGGAGGAAGGCGGGGAAGTCTTGCCAGAGAAGGGCCATCGGAAAGAGGGGGAAGGGGAGCGTTCACGAGTGGGACTGCTGCTGGGACTCTGCTTTGGACTGATGGCCTGCAGCATCCGGCCCTTCCCCTCTTTCAGCATATGTTTCTGGGGAGACCAAAAGGAAGAGTTAGAAGAAACCCATGGATCCTACAAAATCACCACTGGAGGGCCTGAGACTTCACATTACCACGAGGGCCCACTGCAATGTCAAAGTGATGGAGTAAGCCAGAGGAAGGACACAGCTATAATTCTAAGCAATTTCCTACCTAAAGCGGTCTATGCTGTACTACTTATCTCAGGGTTCCCCACCTGCTAGCCACAGTCATCCAATCCTTGACTCCTATGTCAAAGGTAGTCTTAAAAGGCTACGTGGCTTGTAGTCCAGACTCCAGGCAAAAACAAAGGAACTCAGACCAAAGGGTACCTATCCTAGTTTTAAGAGTTCTCTGAAAAAAGCAATTCCCCATTCTCCTTGAATAAGCTATGCTGGTATCCAAACTCCCTCACTCTCAGGTCCTTCCTTATATCTAACCTAGGGCTCACTTGTATATACCCTTTATTTGGCTTGAAAAGACCTTGCTGCTCCTCAAGGACAGAAATCCCACCTCAACCATCAATCCTGTAGCAGCTGTTCATAGTGGAGGCAGCTTTCTTTTTACTGTTCTTTGTTCTTTCCTTTCCTTCTATTTAAAACCATAATGTAGAAAAGCAAGTTGGACAAGGCTACTCATTTATCTTGTCACCAGGTTTGGACATTGATAAAGAGCTGGCAAAATAATTTAGGAGAATATGTAACCTCTTTCTGTAAAGATTTTAAAGAACTTTTGGGGGATAGCTGAAATAGAGTTAAGTTATCTAATCTGTGCCCAATAAAGGGAACAGATTAGATAACTTCTTAATGCCAACGTCCCTTTCTGGTCAAGGATTCTATAATTCTTTCCACAGCATGAGAGAGAATCCCCTAAAAATCCCTAAACTGTCCAGCAGAAAAGAACATACCAGCGCTCCTTCTGGACCAAACATTTCCAGGAAACTTCCAATGAATTCTCGGGATTTCTCCTCCCATTTCTGAATGAGGTCAATGCTCTTTTCCTCTACCTTCTGAACAAATTCTTTTGACTTTTCTTCCACATCTTTCACTTTCTTCTTTACTTTGTCAACCCGCTCCTGCAAGTGGTATTTCTTCTCCTAGGTAAAGAAATAACTGTGTTGAGAAATAATACTCTGACCTTCCATACCAAAGGGGGGAAAAAAATATGTGTTGGCATTCTATTAATATTCTTTTTAGTCTTTAGAATTTCACTTTGCTTTAATCTAGCCCACACTTCTTTAGCATAATAACAGATAAGATATGCTCTGGATGGTAATCTTATACAAAAGTGTTATAATTCTAACTTTGTAGAAGCCCGGGACTAAACTAAATCTATAGGGTAGGCCCAGTAACATGTATCTCATCAAATGAAATCACACTTTTTAAAGATAAAACATAAACTTAGAACATAAACATGCCCTTCATAGCCGAAACCCCTAACTAGACGGAGATGTAAAGGCAGCTAAAAGATCACTGCACAATATTGCCAAGAATAAGCCAGGGCTGGCCGAGTGGCGCGATGGTTAAGAACTGGCTTGGGACGCCAGAGGGCCCCTGTTTGGATCCCACATATGAGGGCCAGTGACACTGCCCTCTACAGCTAAGATGCTGAACAACAGCTCAACCTGGAGCTGGGCTGCCGTGAGTCGCCGGCGACGGCGTAGGTTGCAGCCCCTGTTGCAGTGGGCTGCCATGGGTGACCGTGTGTGGCCAGCAGCCAGCGTGAGCGGCCAGCAGCTGCTGTGAGCGGCCGTCCAGAAGCCGGCGACTGATCTGCCTCGCCCGGGAAGAGCGCAATGATGGTGCCAACTTGGGCCAGTGAAGCAATGTCCTCCACAACTAGACTGAAGAACAAAATGACAGCAACTTGTCTGTTCCCCTTCCCCCAATTCCCCAGTGCTGTTCCCATCCCCCCAATTCCCCAATAAAAATCTTTAAAAAAAGAATAAGCCAACTATAACAGGCTGAAAGTGAAAGTAGTAGATCTTTTACTTCATTCAATTGTTGTACTGGATTTTTTTCCCCTCTATCATTGGCTTATTCTATAATTTTTAAAAAGTTGTTTTAGTATTTTGAGGTGTGTTTGCTCATTCACAAAATAAAGATGATACTCTTTACCAGCTTCCCTAAAGATAAGAGAAAATGTTATGAACCTTTTGGGGATAGAGCATACAGAGGAGAGTTTTTAGTCAAATGGAAAAATATTCTCATAATTTCCTGATCATAAAGAGGAAAGGGAATATGTTTAGGATTTTTAAGCACCTGAAAATAGATTCTGTAGTAGGTGGTTAGCAATGGCTAGGGTTTATCTGCACAGATAAATCATATTTAGATGAAATCATTTCACCTAGTCCTAATTCACAGAGCTGGGAGCAGGTGAGGGAGCATGGTAAACTAAAGCTTAGGTCCACGTGTCCTGAGAAATTGCATGCAAAATGTTGTGTGTCACTATCCACACAGAGAGAGGATCCACAGCTTTCATCAGATTTTCAAAGACCACCAAAAAAAAAAAATGGCTAAGAACCACTGTTTTAAAGGTATTTGATATACATATTGTACTATTCATTTAATTGGCTGTGTGTCCTGATATCAATGTGTTGATACTAGAGCATAAAGACAGAAAATGCCTCTGTTTTAATCTCTTTGTAAAGAGCTTAGCACAGTGTTACCTGCAAAGAAGCGTTCACTGAGCTTGAGTAGGTGATAATTACAGCAGGCTGAAAAGCAAGTTCAGCTCAGATGAAGTGGAAGGCAGCGTTATGTTCTGTAGGACCAGAGAACTCTGGCATGAGGTTGGAACTCACATTGATAAAGCTGACATTGAGCTCCTTTGCCGTGTAGCCCCTCTGTAGGTTCCGTCTGGCATACACATCATAGTCCCGGACAATTCGGGTGATGATGTCTGATGTGGAGATCCCTTCTGTCCTCTGTGTTGGAGCAAACATGCCTAACCCAAGAACACATACAAACACTGTGACAGTCTGGTTAGCTCAGGCAGTAGGGCTAGATGTAAACTGGGAGCAATATTCCTTTCCTTTCCTCAAGAAGCAGAATCTGCTATTACTAAGGGAACTGTGGAGATACTGATGATACAGAAAGAGGAGTGAATCAAAGAATAGGGGTTAAGGAAAGGAGGAGCTATATGGCTCTAATATTAGGAAAACTATGGGGCTACAGAAAGGTTTCCTAAAATTAAGAGATATCAAAAGTAGATGTTTAGGGGCTGGCCGAGTGGCGCATTGGTTAAGAGCTGGCTTGGGATGCCAGCTCTGAGCAGCAGGGGCCCAGTTCAGATCCCACATGAGGGCCAGTGACACTGCCCTCCACAGCTAAGATGGTGAACAATAGCTCGACCTGGAGCTGGGCTGCTGTGAGGCGCCGGTGATGGTGTAGGCTGCAGCCCCTGCTGCAGTGGGCTGCCATAAGCTACCATGTGTGGCTGGCAGCTCATCGGCCAGCAGCCAGTGCGAGCTGCCAAGAGCCGCCATGAGTGGCCATCCAGAGGCTGGCGACCTATCTGCCTGAGCCAGGAAGAGCGCAATGATAATACCAACATGGGCCAGTGGAGCGACGTCCTCCACAACTAGACTGAAGAACAAAAGGACAGCAACTTGTCTGTTCCCCTTCCCCGATTCCCCAGCGCTGTTCCCCTCCCCCAATTCCCCAATAAAATCTTAAAAAAAAAAAAGTAGATGTTTAGGCGGGGAATTGATGGATGTCAGTGTTACGCTCACTTTAACCTCTTATCCAAAGTGTGACCTGAAAGTGGATGTTGACTTTCTCAGTGTATAAATTTTTCTCTGAAAGTAGCTATGTGGTTGAATCTCTGTCACTGCCCCTGAGGCTCCATAAAGTGAGGATTCATATCAACTTACTCACCTGCTTCCTTGATGTGCTTGTAAACATCATCACTACCAGCAGAAGAATAAGGGATGTCATCATGGGCTACAAAATCAATCTGAAAATAAGGAAATACCATTTAAAACCCAGGATAACTGCCATTCAGAAAGAACCAGTAAATACTCTCAGACCCACAAATAGGAAAACAAGGAGAGGCCAGGCCTCAAATGGACATTTTTCTCTTTATCTCTCTTTGCTTTGCTCATAAATTCCACGATTCATTTACAAGCTCACCCAACCTAATTATTTATGGATCATAAATATAAAGTCAGCTAGTTTTGTGGGGGTTTTTTTAGCTATTTCTCCTGGTCTACTAGAGGTACTATGCTCAAACTGTATGCCAGTCACCATACTTGGAAAATAGGACTGTAGGGTTTGCTAGTGTGCTAATTAGTGAATGGAGCCAAGGAAATCTCCCCATCCTCCTGGGTCTGTAAGAATTGGTCAAATAAGGGTTTCTAAAAGTATGAGAAAGAGGTCACTTCTTTGTGAACTGGTTTCTCTCCCAGTCCATGAGATGAGTGGGAATATAAAAATACAATCAAGAGCCCTTTTACTAGAATAGATATATCTGTACTCCTGAGAAATACAAAACCGAAAGCCATGAAAGACTTTAAAAAGTCTCAGGATCTACTATTTTGTTACTGTCTTGCAACAAAGAGATCATTGGCACTGGGATCAATAATCTTTCTGAGAAACATGCTAAACCTCACATATCGACTCCTTCCTGAATAGGCCATTTGCTAAGATAATTGCTAACACCACTGCACCCAATTCTCAGAAGCCACTGTGGTGTGAAGCATGCTCCTCAGGACTGTCAGGGACTTGAGCTAACATCTCAATTACCCACGAACTATCAGAGATCCTTAGGCAGCAAAGTGAAACCAAGAATGGTGGGCAAGCAACTGCTACAAGAAGAAAAGGGAAGTTGGAAGTTCCTCTAACCTCCTCTGCTGGGCCTGCCAGGCTGTGTTACTGAGAACAATCTTGCTGATTACTTTTGGTACCACTGGCTGCTAAGTGTTGATGTAAAAAAGCTAGAAAACTACAAAAGGTGTGTCCCAATTCTAAATAGTTATAACAAATACCCTTACTTCAGGCCTACCCAAGTATCGCTTTGGAAGCACTTTAGCTACCTTTGTTCTTTCCTTCAACATTCCACACACCCCTGTAGAGAACTCACAATATGTTTGCTGGTGCCTCAAGCTTGAGGGCCTCCAACCTGACCTGATAAATCCCTCTCATCTTTTATACCTTTTGTAGGAAACTTGTTGTTTTAATGTGGGAGGATTAAAAGGAGGTAAGGGGTTTTATAGTACTAACTCACTGAGTGAATGTGAGAAACCTCCCTGGTTTCTGATCCCACACAACTTCTAGCCCAAAATCAAAGCCCTAAAACTAAACTTAAGTCAACATAAGAGAAGTCTATGTCTATCTATCTTATATCCTGGAATGTGAACTCCTTGAGAGCATCGCTGGGGACATGTATATACATGTATATTCTAAAGAGACTGGTATGCTAGGAGGATGGACACACCTACAGTGTGTGTGTTGGGGGGTGGGGTGGGAGGTAGGAAATCCCATAGCTGGACAGTTCAATTTCTAGTCCTGCTACAGTGTGACCTGGACACAGTTATTTGGTCTCTCTGGTCTTGTTCTCATATATAAAGTGGAAACAATAATTACCCAACAGGATTGTTATAGGGAGAGCAAATGAAATATAATGGATGTAAAAGAGCTTGTTAACCATCAAACCCATATAAATGTCAGGGATGACTATTATTATTAGCAATATTACTGTCATCTCCTCTATGTGAAATTTACATAGAGGGTAAAAGCAAAATAAGGCTAGTGGAAAACTAGGCCAAGTGCCAGAAGCCTTGAGAGTTGGGAGAATTCCAGAACAGGGAATGAGGCCATGTGCTCAGTCTCTTACCCGGTGTTCTGCCAGGAACTCTGGTGTCAGGGTCCAGGGGGCATTCCTCACCACCTCGTCCACATAGCGGCAGTGCTGTACCGCATCGTAGCGTTCATTTTCGTTCATCACTGTGAAGCCTTTGAAGTTGTGCGTTAGCTCATCACTGCAAACTGAGTTCACCACATTATAAAGTTGTTAAGTCACAGTCCCCTATGCTAAACCATTCCTCAGTCACCAACCTCTCCCATTTTCTAGGACTGTAGCCATTCTCCCCACCTGGAGAAAAACCTTCTGGGTGTAGCTCAGTCTGGGTACCAATGCTTTTCCTAATCCAAGATGCACTTTTGGGAGCGACACTCACTATACAGTATTTTCACATTTTGGAGAAGAGAGGATCCAACAAGGCTCTGAGATCTCTGGCTTTGACATGATCCTGCTGTGTATTTCTGCATCATTTTAAGTTTTCAAAAATGTTTTTTTGTTATATTTTTATAAGACTGGATCACAGAACATTTGCTTAGCAGACTTTTGTAATTCAGTTGATTCAAAATGAAAATGAAATGCAGAGTAAATGCTGTTCTTATGCAGGAAATAGAGGTCAGTGTTGCTCCCATGACTGCAGAAACTCGGCTAAGAATAGTGAGATACACATTGAACTTCTCTCTCTGGTTTATATACTTTATGTTTTAGAGAGGTTGTACTATATCCCTCACTTAAAAACCAAAGTAAGAGCCAGTATACTCAGGTTATAAAAACAGGAGAAAAAGGCTACTGTAATTATTTTTCTGGGCAGCATCTAAAGTCATCAGATGCTCTCTTACCTCCCACAATGAGGTATGTATTAGGGAAAAGGTTCTTTGCTTGCATCAGAGCCCGGGCATGACCAGAATGAAATAAGTCAAATATTCCATCTGCATAAACTCTCACAGGCCGCTCACCTAAATCCAAAAGAAAGAATTTGTCACAGAAATACACTGTGATTCAATATCTCATATTTGACAAATGCAATGGCACTATGTGACTGCTCCATCCCTGCATACCCCTCTCTTACAGCGTTCTCTGAATAGTCACCCAGATTTGAGGGTGGACTGGGGTTGTGAGGAATAACATCACAGACTTCCTTGTCTACAAAGACCTTCTGGGCATCGAATTCACTAACTTTCCTTGTTAGCCTGGTTGTATCAAACTTCTCAGGTAACTGGATTTGATGGTTGCTTTTTCTTAGTTATTTTAGAAGTGAAGGGGAAGGGTTAAACAATACATACACCCAAAACTTCAAAATTCTCACCTTCAATTTGTATTTAAACTTCAGTTATGTTTAAACAGAGGATAGCTAGACTATACTCTGGCTGGTTGTTCTCTCATTTTCAAGCTGCCTTGATTACTAATGAATAATGCTTTTCTTTGAAAATAAACCTTCCTGCTATTGCCCATAGTAAGGAATAATCCAGAAAGGTGAGATTGAGAAAGACGGCAGGTAGGCGCCATTTATCAATGTATTGCTTCTCAGTCCCAGATTTACCCTCAACACCTGCTCTGTGACAACAGATGGAATTCCTTCAAGCACTTCTCCTTGACAGTGAGCATGATGGTACACTTTCTCAGTATCCTAAGTGTTTGAAAATCAAATATAAATATTTTAGAACTTTATATTAGAGCTTTTCCTCTTCTCCTCTCCATTAGTGACAATAATAAAAAACTGACTGTCAATGTATTTTTCATGGTAGTAGATTATAAAAGAAAAGCCAGGAAATGATCTCCTGGGGTCTAAGATTAATTCCAAGCTGAAAAAACATTGAAAATAAAATTTATACAATGGTTCATCATGCTTCAAATGATAAATCTGAGTCCTAGTAACATATTCCCACTATGTGAACAAAGGGAGAGCTATTTCACTGTCGCAGCAGGAAACAAGAGTAGGAGCATCTACATCGTTCTGAGAGAGAAGGGCCAGTCTCATCAGACACGCCAGACTGAAGGCAGGGGTAAGATGTATCTCCCTCCTGCCCTGAGGACAGCGACTCAAGCGGGGAGGAAACTGGTTCTCAGGAGGTTCATGGACTTTTCTTTCCAGACAGTTTTATCCATAATCAAGTAGCTTTTAAACTGAGAAATCACACATTGCTAATAGAAATATAAATTTGGTACAACTTAAGAAGGGCAATTAGTCAATACCTATCAAAAGACAAATGACAAATGCTTATACCCTTTGGCCCAGCTACTCCAATTCTAGGAACTTTTCTCACAGATATATGTGTAAAAATATATATTATTCATTGCAGTGTTGTTTGTAATAGCAAAAGTTTGGAAACAACCTAAATATCAATGGCAGACTGAATATACCATGATACACCCACTAAAAAGGTGGGAGGACATTTTTTGTTATTTGCTTAGATATCCACAAGACGTTGGTAAAGATGGTTGCCTATAAAACCGATACTGTGTGGTTATGAGACAGTGGTCAAAGGGAGACATTTCACTCTATACCCTTTTTGTACTTTATGAATGCTAGGCCATGGGAATATATTGATTTTATACAGGAAATCAAATTTTTAAATAAAATAAATATACACCAGTACAATGAAAACCGGAGAAATAATATGGTGGGTTAAAGAGTCAGAAAGGTTATAGCTTAATCCTCCATCGGGCACAACTGATCTCACAGATTCATTGCACACAAAGACGCTGCTATGAAATACGTCTTTACTGTACTAAGTCACAAACACGACTGGCGATAGGTTACGATAGAGGGGGATGATACAGAAGCAATGAGCCACAATACTTAAGTTAACTGTTAGATATTTGAAAATTTGTGTGCAATGCATCTGTGAGATCAGTTGCACCCAACGGAGGGTTAAGTTTGCCAACCAGCCTCCTTCCTCTGTAATCTTAACCTCTTTAAGCCTTAGTTTCTTCATCTATTAGAAAGCAAAAGATTGCTTGTCCGCTGATATCGGTGTACTCCAAAAAGGAGGAATCATGTGGCAAAAATGTCATTGCCTGCTGTGTTCAAGACTCCCATTTGGCCAGATATTGTGAATTCTGTTCATACCAACTTATGCAAAAACAACAGCTCTAGGCTGTCAGTGAATTAGCAGGTCATCAAACCAGTGCTGAGTCGTGTGGTACTGGCAGAGCTGTGGCTCGAATTCCCAGAGTTCAAGGTGGTGGGACTCATTGTTCTGGCCAGGGTGCTTTTGGCAATATGTGTCGTGGGCACTGCATATTTGCACCAACAAAAACGTGGCGCCGTTGGCACTGCAGAGTGAACACAACACAAAAGTGAGAAGCAATATGCCATCTGCTCTGCCTTAGCTGCCTCAGCCTTACCAGCACTGGTCATGTCTAAAGGTCATCTTTATTGAGGAAGTTCCTGAACCTCCTTTGGTGGTTGAAGATAAAGCTGAAGGCTACAAAAAGACCAAGGAGGCTGTTTTTCTTCTTAAGAAACTTAAGGCCTGGAATGATAACAAAAGGTCCAGGCCCCTCAGTGAATGAGAGATGGCAAGGGCAAAGTGAGAAACCATGGTTGTATCCAGCACAGGGGAACCTTGCGTCATCTACACAGGGTGCCAAAAAAATGTACACACATTTTAAGCAAGGAAAAAACTGTATTAATTGTAATACTCAATATATACCAATAAAGGGCCGGCCGAGTGGCACATTGGTTAAGAGCTGGCTTGGGATGCCAGCTCTGAGCAGCAGGGCCCCAGTTTGGATCCCACATGAGGGCCAGTGACACTGCCCTCCACAGCTAAGATGATGAACAACAGCTCGACCTGGAGCTGGGCTGCTGTGAGGCACTGGCGACAGCGTAGGCTGCAGCCCCTGCTGCAGTGGGCTGCCATAAGCTACCGTATGTAGCTGGCAGCCAGCGTGAGTGGCCGGCAGCCCAGTGTGAGCTGCCAAGAGCTTCCGTGAGCGGCCGTCCAGAGGCTGGCGACCGATCTGCCTTACCCGGGAAGAGCGCAATGATAATACCAACATGGGCCAGTGAAGCGACGTCCTCCACAACTAGACTGAAGAACAAAAAGGATAGCAACTTGTCTGTTCCCCTTCCCCCGATTCCCCAATAAAATCTTTAAAAAATATATATATATATACATATACATACACACACACACACACACACACACACACCAATAAAAACAAAGATGAATACAAGTCATGTTTGACGTCTGCAATTATAGGAGGTGCTCAAAGTGGTTACCATCAGCATCCAGACACTTCTGATTACGGTGAACTACTGCTTGAGCAACGTTGACCAAAGTGTCCACTTGTATACATTTTTTTGGCACACCCCTGTATAATAAGGACAATGGCATCATCAAAGCCTTTAGAAACATCCCTGGAATTACACTGCTTAGTGTAAGTAAACTGAACATTTGTGTTTGTTTTGTTTCTGAAAAGAGGGGATGGGACTCAGTCCTTCCTGGCTGTTGCCTTCCTCACAGCTGCAAGGACACCGCTCAGCTCTCTCTCTTCCTCTTCACACAGATGTGTGTCCCACCCTTTTCTTGATGAACTTCAGGACCCGTTTGTCCTTAAAGACCTTGAGCAGCTCCATGGAATGCGCTCATAGGGGGCAAAGCCGCACACTTTTCGGATCACGTCCCGCGTGAACTTGGTGTGCTTGGTGAGGCGCCTGCAGCAGCGGCTACAACTCTGCTTACTCATGTCCTTGGTCACCTTGTGGCCACAGCCATGGGGTAGCGCAGAGCCATGGCTGCTGCTCCCAATGGCTGCCGCGGCTGAAGGGGCAAACTGAACATTTTGAAACTTGCTCCTGGATGGGCATGTGGGCAGTTTCTGCACTTGGACTGAAAGTGCTTTCTGCAAGTTAGATGTTCTGTATGGCACTTAGCGTAAAGCTGCCTCCCTGAAGAGTAACGACAACCTTCCCATGCACAAGACACTGAATATAGAGCTTAGCAGAATCTTGAAAAGCCCAGAGATCCAAAGAGCCCTCCAAGTACCATGCAAGAAGATTCATCGCAGAGTCCTGAGAAGAATCCACTGAAAAACCCAAGAACCAGGTTGAAGCTAAACCCACATGCAAAGACCACTCGCCGGAACACCATTCTTCACCAGGCCAAGAACCACTAGCTCCGGATGGAATACGCAGCAGCAGCAGCAGCAGTGCAGCGCTAGAAGCTGAATCTGATGAGAAGGAGGTTCCAGGCAAGAAGCCAGTGGTAGGGAAGAAAGAAGGCTGTTGGTGTTACAAAGCAGAAGCCCATGGTGAGAAAAATGGCTGAAGCTACCAAGAAACCAGCAGCTGATAAAAAGCCTGCAGAAAAGAAACCCATCATGGAAGAAAAGAAGCCAGTGGCATAAGCTGAAATTTGTTTATTCCATAAAGGTCAAATCAGTTTGGACAGCTAATTTTGAATAAAAACCTGATGAAAGAGGCAGTGAGAGAAAAAAAGATAAAGCAAAACAAAACAAAATCTGAGTAGTATAATCCCTCATCTACATCCTAGAAATTATGACCATGAAGTAAATAACATACTTCCATCTTTCCTAAACAAGTCCAGAGTGGCTATGATCTTACTTTATTTGATCCTAAAAGACAAACGATAAAATTAAAAAATTAAGAGTGTTTTGTTATTTCTTTGCCATTCGTGTACAGCAAGGGTAAAGTGAAATGAGGAAGATTTAGCTCAATAAACACACTTCCTAGATGGTGGCAATAGCCTAGAATGCTGTTGATGGAGTGGCTGTCTGCCAGTAATCATCCCATATTAGGCCATGTCACCAATGAATCCTTTTTGTCGGACCAACCCCAGATGTGCCTCTTGTCCTCCTCAGCATTTCTCCAGCCTCCCAACTTCTCAATTTCCTAGGACTTAACCCCAAGTCTTTGGTGAACCCAGACTGGCATATTATCCAAATGGCCAGAAGAGGCCACTGTTGAACTAGAAAATCTGGGGAGAAAGCATAAATTATCCTTTCATTTACCAAGTGGCTATTGGCCAGGATAACAGACATAAAACCTGATTTACATCCGTTGTCTCAGCATATTATTAAAAGCAGCCCCTTTCATTCTCAAGATGGTCCTAATTTGGATTATACTACTTGCACTACTGCTGGCTGAGTAATTAGATGTTCTCCTTCAGACAGAACAGACCTGCAATTCAATTTATTGTCTCTTTTGATACGGTCTCGCAAATACCTATCACTGAATCATTTTGTCTCTAACAGATTTCCATTGCCCTTCAGACTCTGCTGTTTCCTTCCTTTCTCTAAGAGAACATATAGCTTTTTTTTGTGTGTCCAGTTTTCAAAAGAGATGATCTTCTCATCTCTCAAGTAATATTTGTTTTTTCTCTGGGTAGTGGAGTTTTCTCCTGGATTATACAACCTTCCCTCTTGTACTCCTTGAACCTCCCAAATGAAAACCTGGGGGCAGAGGGAGGGATGCCTCCTTGTACCAATTGTTGGTTTAAAATTCACTATGACATGTGTATGTAGATTCATTACTGATTTATCCCTAGTCCGGAACTGACATGAATTCAGTTACTTGGCTATTTAACATAAAAATAAACAGGAAGAATGAGATTTAGGAGAAAAACCAGAGATAGAATTAGACCGTCAAATTTCATAGGCTAATTTGTGACTATCTATACTGCCTAAAATACAATCAGTTTGTTAGGATGGCCTTCTATTGTTTATAACTAATATCTACAAACAGTAGCACCACTCCAGGGTGAAAAGAACATAAAGATGGAAAAACTTAGGTTTCAGCTTCAATTCTATCACTAATTATTTGTTTTACTGTATGGGAGATTTCATTTCTAAGTTTCTATGGACCTTACTTTCTTCATGTATATAATAAAGTGGCGTCGAGCCTTTTTCCCTTTTTGGACGCCCTGCTCTCTTGACCGCTTATTCCTTTTCAAGCCCTTTGAGCCTCGCCTTTGTGCGTGGCCTGCTCCAAACTCTTTGGAATGTAATTTCTCTTCTAATAATGGGCCCTTGAGCTATTCTCTACTGCTCGGTCTCTACTGCTCGGGCCTACTTCTACTCTTTAAAATGTATTATCTTTTCGAATAAACTACTTTATCAGCGCTTTAAAAAAATAAAAAATAAAATTCAAGTGGCTATAAAGTAGATTATCTCAAAATTGAACTTGTAAAATTCTATTATTCTAAAATTTTTTTGATTAGATTTATTAGTGTTTGCTAATTATAAGCTTCTAAACTTGTTTAAAGCACATATACATATACATAGCTTTTATGTACCACAAGTGATATGGATAGACTAGCAATAAGCTGAGTAATACAACTAAAGTGATCTGATCTGAGCAAGGTTACTGCATTCTGAATCTGTATCATTAGGGAGTACATGAAAAGTTCCTGCCCTCAGCATACTACTATCACATCTGAATGTGATCCTTGAACTGTCTGATGGTATTTTGAAATCTGACCTGTCACCATTACACCCTGATACTTATAACCTGTTTTTCCTTGTTATCATTTTACCTGCCTCATTAGCCTTCCTATTACACAGGGGAGGCAAACCCAAAAAAAATCACATTATAAATTAGAAGGGTTGTGATCAATATGAGCTGTATCTAAACACTTGTGCAAAAGGAAAGCACTCTCAGGAATTTTGAGGACCCCAAAACTATATTCCATAGAGCCAAGATATGGTCAAGGGGTATTGGGATCCCTGGTCTGACACTGTCCAGCATTCATTCGTATTTTGCTTACAGACAGCAAACACACTAACACAATTAAAAAATAACCACAAATATCTTCAATATACTGGAAATTTATAGATTTGTGGCTATAACTGCTTCTTACTCCCTAGTGTTTGCCTGGGTTTGAGTCCAACCTGACATTTACAGAATAGAGAGAGCACTTACCATAGTAACTGGAAGAATTGAAAAAGGATTGAAAAAAAAGAAGAACTGGAGAATTTACACAGAAGTAAGGAAAGCTTCCTATAGAACTCTGCACTCATAACAAATGTTCATGGAAGTTTCTATTTATGATGATGCCCAAAACCAAGTGCCCAAAACAGGAAGAACATTTAGAACACATATATGATGTAAACTAAGCATACCAGTAGAGCATGGGCTTTGAAAATAATAAAGTGAGTCTTTGAAAAACTGGAAAATTATAATATCAATAAAGAGAAAATTAAGTGATAAGCATCTCCCAACTTGGGATATTTTTGTCCTCCATCATCAATAGCATCACAGCTAGGGTGCTGACTGATACAAAGGAAGATTTGGGGAACAATTCAGAAGGCTATTAAAAATGTGACAGCCTGACATATTATTTGGACTTTTGTAAAAATAGACAAGATTATAATCCAGCTCAGGTGAATTAATATCTTATTGTCTCTGTTCCACTATATCTCATAGCTGTGACATCATCCTGGCAAACAAGTATATGCTAAGAAGAAAAATGAAATCTTATGGAGTAGTTGTCCTCCCAAATAGAACAGCAAGGGAGATGGGAGGAACTTCTCCACCTTGTCCCTACTAGCCTCCACAGGTAAACTGAGGAAAGAATATAGAGAGTAGGTATATATTTGATAAATACAATGGAATGCTAAAAACAATAGTAAAATAATAAAATAACTGGGCATTTACTCACAAGGAGTTCCTCTGCTGGCTTCTTCCATAGTTACCCTGACATAGGGCTTACTAAAGTCTTCTTCAATTTCATCAGAAAACGGAGCTGGCTGTCGTAAGCCCTTAAGAGGAAAGTGAAGGGAAAGACAGTTAAACTCAATGGTACAAATTGAAATACTAAAAAAACAGCAGCTTTAAAGAACAAACAGTTATTCAATATGCTGTGATTAAATTCCTCCTAAAACTTCATAACATAAAGAAGAAAAAAGGCATCCAAAATGACAAGTGAAAGTGGCACAACCTTTTACCAAATGGGTAAATTATGGCAAGATAAACATCTTGCTGGTGATTTCATGGTAAAGACTGAGCGAGGTGGCTGGGAACCTATGCTTAGTCCCAACTAACTGGGTCCAGAATGATGGCTCCTCTGCTGCCGGCAGAACAGCCAACCCTGTTCCATGTGATAAAATTGCCAAGGTTCATAAGTGTATTTTCATAACACTTCATCTAGGGGCCTGGGAGGGCAAACTTCTCTGTACTTTATTACGTATGATTATCTGTGTAATGCTTTGCACTGTAACTGTGTTCCAATGCTTATTAACAGCCCTGTGAAACAAGTAGTACAACAGTACTCTCAATTTAAAGATGATGAAAACGAGGTTCAGAGAAGTTATATGAATTGTATGCAATTACTCAGAGGCAAAGAATGCAGGTATGCGTTTTCCTCTGTGCTATTTCCTCTATAGAGGAAAGCCTTACTTAAAAGTTTTTGTTAAATTCATTCTAAAGTATTTTATTCTATTTGATGCTATTGTGAATGTAACTGTTTTCTTAATTTTATTTTTGGGTTGTTCCTTGTTAGTACATAGAAATGCAATTGATTTGTATGTGTGAATGTGAGTATAATTTCAGTTGATCTTTATATATTGAACTTATGTCTTATGACTTTGCTAAACTCAATGATAAATTCTAGCAGTTTGTTTGCTAGATTCCCTAGGGTTTTCTACATATGAGATCCTGTCATCTGTGAATAAAAACAGTTTTACTTATTTCTTTCCAATCTGGATGCCTTTAATGTCCTTTTATTATCCCTTTGTGCACTAGTTAGAACCTCCCGTACAGTTTTGAATAGAAGTGGGAGGGACAAATATCCTTCCTTGCCTTCTTCCCAGTCTTGAGGGGGGAGGCATACAATCTTTCATCATTGTGTATCATGTTATCTGTAAGTTTTTCAGAGATGCCTTTTATCAGGTTAAGAAATCTCCCTTCTTTTTGTAGTTTGTTGAGTTTTTAGAATGATTGGGTGTTGGATTTTGTCACATGCTTTTCTTCATTATTGAAACAATCATATTTTGTTTTTGTTTTATATTTTATTAATTATGGTATATTAAATTAATTGATTTTAGGATGTTAAAACAACTTTTTATACCTGAGTGAAATCCCTCTTGTCATGTTGTATGAATCATTTTATATGTCCCTGGATTCAATTTGTTAATATTTTGTTAAGGATTTTTACACCTAAGTTTGTAAGGGATTTTGAACTATACAAGTAGTTTTCTTTCCTTGTGCTGTTTTAGCCTAACTTTGATATTTGGCCTCATAAAACAGCCTCCTCTATTTCCTGAAAGTGTTTGTATAGGATTGGTATCACTTCTTCCTTAAATGTTTGATAGAATTCACCAATGAAGCCATCTGGGCCCGGACTTGTCTTCGCAGGAATATTTTTAAAGACTAATTTAATTTTTTTTTACTTGGGATAGGTCTATTCAGATTTTGTATTTCATCTTGGGTCAGTTTTGTTAATTTGTCTCTTTCTAAGAATGTCATCTAAATTGTCAAATTTTGGAGGATGAAGTTGTTCATAATATTCCTTATAAACCCTTTAGTTTCTGTTGAGCTGTAGTGATGTTTACTTAGAATTTTAAATTCTAAACAGATCACATCCTGATTGAGCTGAATCCAGAGACTGGAAAGACATTGTTTTGTTTTGTTTTCAGATAAGGGTAAATTTTTGAAATTAGGTTTTAAAATTAAAACATATTTCTTTTTAAAATCACTTACCCAAATCAAGTACCCTAATGTGCAATTTTCTCATATTAGTGATTTCCTACAGATTAAACAATTTATCCTCTAGAAGTTAGTACGCAAAGAGTTGCTTAACAGTAATTTATATTTCTAAAAGTATATGCTATTCACAAAATAATACATATTCTATGATTTCATCTATATGAAGGTTAAGAACAGGCAAAGCTAAGCTAGGGGACAAAGAGGAAATTTGGGGAAAGATACTGACTGGTGGGGGGTGTGAGAAAGTCTTCTGGGAGTACTGGTGATTACATGGATGTGTACATATGTTAACATTTACAGAGCTGTACACTTAAGGTTTATGCACTCTATTGTATGTAGTTATACCTCGAGAAACCAATGACATTCAGCCATAAAAAGGAATGCAGTATTAACAATACATGCTACAACATTGATCAACCTTGAAAACACTATGCTAAATGGAAGAAGCCAGCCACAAAAGATCACTTATTATATGACTCCATTTACATGAAATGTCCAAAATAGGAAAATTTATAGACAGAAAGTGGATTAGTGTTTATGTTGGGCTGGGAGGGTTGGACAGAAATGGGGAGTGACTGCTAATGGGTACAGGGTTTTCTCTGGGGTGATGAAAATGCTTTAAAATGGACTATGATGATAGTTGTACAACTCTGTGAGTATTATAAAAACTATTGAATTGCACACTTTAAATGGGTATGTGAATTATAATGGTATACAAATTATATCTCAATAAAGTTATTTATATGTTTATATATGTAAAGTATAAAAAATAAATGAAATAGAAAAAATTATGCTTATTAACAATAGTACATGTAAATAAAATACCAGCCTTACTGTGCCTCTGAAAGTTATTACCAGTGGTATGCTGCAGTTTGATGTTAAATATTCAAGAATTCTGTGGCACGTTGGTAAATCATTAGTAACTTGAATCAGCCATAGAAATCAGAAAATGCTACATATCAGAAATGTCCCCCTCCCCCAACCCGCACAGTGACCCAATTTACTACTGGTTATTTTGCATACTTAGAAACAGATCAGTTCAGAGGTTATTATAGAGAGAAGGACATAGACTTATAGATTTTTCCATTAATGTTGCAGTGGGAGTAGGAAGGGTGACAGATAAAAGATTTTATGAAGGAAGACTAGGTGGGATACAGTAAAAAGAAAAAAATGTTGTCATTTGAGAAAGAAAGGAGTTTACAATAACAGATTTTGAAGTGAAGAAAATAAGACTGTAGCACCATTATCAGGAATAGAGAAGTTTTAAAAGGAATTGAGATAAAAGAAAATGAGAACTGAGAAAAGTCTTTGAATTGGAGATTCAAATGACTATAGAGACCTTCTAGGCTACTACTAGTGAAAGTCAGCACACCAGTGCCTTTAAGAAAATTGGAAGACAGGGAAATAGATTAGTAATAGTCTTTCATTAGAGATCTGTGATCATAAAGATAATAAAAAAAAACAGAAAGGTACTTAGAGGAAACAGAAGGATCAAGTGGCAGTATTTTTTTTAATTAAGCAGATTTGTACATGTTCAAGACAGAGGAAAAGGAGTGAAAGAAACTGAAAATATCAGAAAAGAAGAAAACATATTATTAAGGAAGGAGGAGTCTAGAGGAATGGCAGGGAATGGCCTCAAAGGAGAGCAGGGGGAAGGTGTTAGCCCTAGAAATAAGAAGGATCACATTTTTCTAAAAACACAAGAAAGGAAAAGTGATAAGAGGATACTGTTGAATGTAAAGGAGGAAAGATGTATAAACTTATATCTGATGCCGTCAATTTTCTCAGTAGAGTAAAAAAGGAAGTGAAGTTACCTAGAAAGAACAGGGAGGTTGGAATGAGACTGAAAGCTTGAGGAAAGAAAACTAATTTGGAATCGTCGCTGTGGGAAATGTATTAGAGCATGAGCAAGTAATGGGACTATTGAGCACTATATTTAGTCCAGCTCAGGCCAGAAACTTTAATCTTTAGAAGCCAAATTTCTAGATCTGGGAAGAGAAACAGAGAATTAGCAGGAACTGTGAAAAATATAGGGTTAGGCCCTGGTGAATAGAAGGCAGGCAGAAGAGGAAAGAGAAGAGTTAAGGAGACAAAATGATCTAGACATTTCTCCGAAGATGATATGCTAATTGCCAAAAAGCACATGAAAAGATGCTCAACAATATTAGGCATTATAGAAATGCAAATCAAAACTACAATGAAATGCTGCTTCATACCCATTAGGATGGCTCTAAGCAAAAAAGACAGGTAATAACAATGATGGCGAGAAATTGGAACCTTCACACACAGCTGCTGTGAATGTAAACAGGTACACAGCTTCGGGAAACAGTTTTTTACTATGTTAAACATAGACTACCATATGACCCAGAAATTACACTCCCAGGTATATAGCAAAGATAATGAAAACATATGTTTTAAAAAGAACTTGTAGGGCCGGCCGAGTGGCACGATGGTTAAAAGCTGGTTTGGGACGCCAGACGGCCCCGGTTCGGATCCCACATATGAGGGCCAGTGACACTGCCCTCTACAGCTAAGATGCTGAACAACAACAGCTCATCCTGGAGCTGGGCTGCCGTGAGTCGCCGGCGATGGCGTAGGCTGCAGCCCCTGTGGCAGTGGGTTGCCATGGGCTACCGTGTGTAGCCAGCAGCCAGCATGAGCGGCCAGCAGCCGTCCAGAAGCCGGCGACTGATCTGCCTCGCCCAGGAAGAGCGCAATGATGGTGCCAACTTGGGCCAGTGAAGCAACGTCCTCCACAACTAGACTGAAGAACAAAACGACAGCAACTTGTCTGTTCCCCTTCCCCAATTCCCCAGCGCTGTTCCCATACCCCCAATTCCCCAATAAAAAAAAATCTTAAAAAAAACAAACTTGTAGATGAATAACGAATAACGTTCATAACAGCATTATTCACAATAGCCAAAAATGGAAACAGTCCAAATATCCACCAACTGATGAATGGATAAACAAAATGGTATGTCCGTATGAAATATTATTCACCTATAAAAAGGAATGAAGTATTAATACTTGCTGCTACCTGGATGGACATTAAAAA